CACACACACACACACACACACACACACACACTTTTACAAAAGCACCTACCATACTCAGCGCTGTAGACCTCCCCCAGAATAAAGACTGGCTCTTCCGTACGCGGAAAGTCTTCATATTCACCGGGTCCGCTCTCGTAAGTAAAAGTGCCGACACTCACTGCAATAACCAGAGACACAACATGATTTTACCGTCAATTGTAGGATGGAAGACATTAACAAATCGACACAATAACAATGACAACGGGACACAATAACAATAACAACGGGACACAATAACAATATGCCAGGCAAGGGCGAAGCAAATCAGACAAACAGAAAAAAAAGAGGGAGATTCAGGCCATCGGGGGTGCTCGGCTCAGCTCAGTTTGACATTGTGTCCTTGGAAAAAGTATTGTACATGATTTTCGAATTCAGCTCTGTCAGTCCTATCAATTCAAAGATAGACATTTTGAATTCGGAAATTCCGTCTCTTAAATATCGCAACAGTGTTGTGAGGGGCGTTAAATTTAAACTTGTAAAACTTCGCATTTATATTTTCTCACAAGACAAGTGGAGGAGCTCTTCTTTCTTTTTCCACAACATGTAGCGAGGACACCAGACACTAGTCCCATACCCATCAAGCTGTGCTGTGAGTAAAGAGAAGCACATGACCAATAACCATCATTTGGAGAAAAAGCGAAGCAGGCAGACGGGCAGAAAATACTGAGAGAATAAAGAAGCCGGTACAACCATTGGCAGCCTCCACTATAACCACCCACTTTTTACCTGAACATCACAGTGCGTATCCTGTCAAGTGATTTATAGACAAGCCGACATACACACACGTCGGCCCACAAGCCATTCTATAACTTAGATAAAAAGAAAAACTAAACTTTTCTTGGAAATACAACCCGGTCTGAAGACAACTACTATAAAATTTATTCCTTTACAACTGATGAAACAAAATCAAGTACATAATGGTGAGTATTTTACACCCCCATCAACACCATTTTCAACCTTTTCGAAGCGGGCAGCTTCCACTCCACCTGTCAAGGCCATCCAGGGATGGGTGAAGCACAATATCCCAACAAACAGACATAGATGCTCTGTAAAGAAATTCTCAACTTGTAAAACTAACTAACACCTTCCGTATGCAGAACTGAAGAACCTATTCATTATATCACATACATTGCTTCCCACTGCTTACCATCACATTGCTCACAGTGCAAATTTCCCCAAGTAAAATTGTAGTACAAATATATATATATATAGGAAATCTGTAAATAGTGGACAGGATTCGTGGGTTTTTATCAGTGCAGATTTCAATTTCATATATATATATATATTCGCAAGTCTTGTCTAGCAACAAAGATTAACATCAACGAGCAAAAATTATGTCAACAGGAAAAATCTCCCCAGTAGTGGAAGTTGAAGCAGCGTGAAAGTGCAGCAAGAAATGCCAAGGTTTAAATAGTATTGAATTCATTCAAATGAAAATTGATGAAATAACACATCAATAGAACATCAATGCTGAATCATTGTGTTAGTAAGCATTTTACAGCAATTGCAACACATTAACAATTAGAAGGTCATATTTGGGCTGAAGATTAGGTGTTACAAGAGAGTAACAAACACAAAAAGAGAAAAGAGATACGGAACGGATATATAGGAAAGAAGGAGCAAACCACACGAGAGCATGGGCCAACTACCCACCGAATCTTTCCAATCTATCATTTCAACAATCAAAATGTATCATCATGTGTAAGACAACAGTAGCAACACAACAAGAGGAGACTACAAACTGAAGGCTGAAGAAAATGTAAAATAGATTCCATTCTTCAGAAAACACTTTGGATAGACTTTTCAGCAAACACCAGTCAAGATTTTTTTTCCGAGTGTTGAAAATTATGATTCTACACATTACAAGGAACAAAAATTGATGTACACACTATTACAGTAATTCCAGAGTGATTTGTTTAGAGGAAAGAGAAAAACATTGCTATTGAAAACAAACAAAACGATATTCCATTTATTTGTGCTGGGAAACTGACGATAGAAACAGAGACAAAACTGGGAAGGAAAAAAGTAGGACCTTCCAGAGGCATCCCCCAACCATCCGCGGGGGTTGACAAAGATAATCACAAAGGGGAACTGCCCGGCAACTTAGACCTAGGTCTAGTACTACTAGAATTGGACCCGCGATCTAAACAAACAAAAAAAAGATAGCTTTAGATCCTGATCCTGTAGTTTGTAAGAGAAGGAACTATGAGTAGATTTAGGTGACAAAATGTAACTTAGATCTCATGCAAGTCAGAACAAAGGGAAGGGAGAGATCAATCAAAGCTGTGCAGTCCGCGGCATTCCATTAACAGAGCCCTGCTCTTTTTTTTTTAGATTTCACTCTGAAAAAAATGAAAAGCATTTTCTCTGCTGTATAAAACTTGAATGATATGATATATGTGTACTTTGTTGATTTTGTTTTCAATTCCACCCAAGTCAAGCCCTTTGGTGTAATTTACTCCTCCAGTTTGGACAAGTACCTCTAAAAAATTGTCTGTGTTTGGTCAAATTGTGCAATTGTTTTAAAGTTCGCGACACAAAAGCCATAAACGGTTTCTTTGTCATTTATTTTGATTGTTATTGTACTATCTGATGCTTCTGTGGTGTAAATATGGGTGAATTTTTCAAAACCTCCAAAAAAAGCCCAGACTCCAGCACTTGTGTTTTCTAAAATACCCCAGACTCAAGTAAGTTAATAGATCAAACAGTGGTCCTGCGAAATGCAAGCTCTGGTGGAAATTAGATAAAAGTAAGACTGACGCGCATGTCATTATCAGATCAGTTGAGAGGAGTGAAGTTTTGACAACTGCGTGCCGACCGGACAAGGGACCCCTGATCCCACCTGTCAAAGACCAAATTTTTTTCTGGCTCCCTTGCGATTCCCTCTACATACAGGTTCGACTGTATACAGTATGAACAAAGACTAGCTGAATCAAATCATTCAAAACAGAATGAATCAAAACAATAGGCCTACCCTGGTGTCTTTCAACAAAAGAGAGGACTAGACTAAAGTAGATTTTTTTTTTATTGAAAAGCTATTTGAATTTGAAATTGGACCAGTCCAATTCAATGGTTCAAATGGCAAGATACATGGCAAAGCACAAAAAGAATAAACTATAGAAACAGTGGTCACTGAATGGTACATTGTCTTGACAAAACAATTAAACATTAGGCCGGCTCTATTTCTCCGAACGTTCGGGAAAATAAACTTGAACTTTATTTCTCACGGTTTCCGTTCTTGAGATTTGTTGATAATAAGCGAATAAAGTGGCCATGCGTGTGTGTGTGAGTGTGAGTGCGCATGTGTGTCTGTGTGTGCAAGGTGTGAACGGGGGGGAAAGGCGGAGGGATTTTTTTTTTACATGAAAGATTTTAGTTTTCACTGGGTGACTAAATGCAAAATAGGTTACTGCAAAGGTCAAGCTGTCTTGTTTTTTTCGCAGTACCTTTTGAAGGTATTTTCAAGTGAAGTATAGTCCGGGAACTTTGGCCCAACCACAACTGAAGTGTATCTGAAAATTCAGACATTTAAAAATCTCTAGCTCTAGAAATTGAATTCGATGCAAAAAATCCTTCCTCCCAGTCCTCATAGAATGGCAGAATGAAAGGAGGACCCCTAAATCTCGCAAATAACCCAAAAAATCTTGAGATCAGAGACCGTTAGGAGAAATAGAGAAAAGAGAGTTCAATCAACTTTATTTTACCGAGACCGAGTGTTCGGAGAAATAGTCACTTCGTAAACATTATAAATTGAAAAGGCAGAGAACAAGCCAATGAACAGTGAACTAGAATCCAGATCTAAAGTTGCCACAGTTTCCATAAAATTTTGTAAGAACAATGAGAACAAGACGAAGATATGGAAAGGGAAAAGGAAGAATGGGGATGCGCACCACTCTTCTTTTGTTTCCAAGAATTCAAAATGCGCATCATAGCATTTCCGTGACCCTGGCTGCGAGACATCGGGGATTTGCCAACACTTCAAGACATTTTTAGACAATCAGCATTATCTGATTCCTCATCAGCTAGACTGCTAGACACATGACTAGAGACCTCTATTATACTCATTCTATTTCAGTATTAATATTATCACCATTCTCTGTACACTATGACAAACAATGGTGGGTCTCTATTCTCATCTCTGGGAACAGAATTTTATTGGCTATTACAATTTCTGGTACATTTCTGAGTGTTGTGCTTTTAAACTCACACATGGGGAGGGGGTCACAACTGATAGGAATGTGACCATACGGCATTTAAATTAGGTCTCAAAAACAAGTGGGTAAGTCACTCTTTCTGTTATGATTACCATCGAAATCCATTTCCGCAAAGAATCAAAACATTACTCTGAGCATGCGCATAAACATTCACATCCGGATCCACTTTGGTCACATTCCGTTCCACTCTCTAGCGAACGGGCCATCCGGCAAGCTAATTTTCGGTCAAAATTGTCAAAATCGCAAAACGCTCACGCCATTGTGGCATTATCCTGGAGTGCAAGGAAAAGAAGAGGGTTGTTAAAAGGAAAGAATTGAATAAAGCTGTTAAACATTGAAACTAAATGTTGGAAACATTATTCCAAAAATAACACTTTAGCAATCCCACCCGAGCATGATCAGGCAAAACGGGACCAGTGTTGACAACTTGTCATAATAATATACCTGCATGCTTTCCGTTACATATTGTAGCCTACATAAATTGCAATTTTCTAAATTTTTGGATGGAGTGAGGGAGGGGAAGAGAGAAAGAGAGATGGAAAGAGAGAGAGAGAGAGAGAGAGAGAGAGAGAGAGAGAGAGAGAGAGAAAGAAAAAAAAGAGAGAAGAAGGAGAGAGAGAGAGAGAGAGAGAGAGAGAAAAAAAAGAGAGAAGAAGGAGAGAGAAAAGGTCTGTCAATTCATTATGTCGCAGAAGCTGGCAGAAGCACACAGGGTCATTGACTTTTAAAGAAAGATCAATAAAAATATGTTAATGCACATGTCTCATAAACAGTGAAATCTTATTCTGGAGTGTCGTGAATAGCTTGATGAAGAGCTGGCGTTGAATGCACCCCAAGAGACAATATTAAATCGCTACCTCAGAATTACGAAGTTCTATATATCTGCTCACCTAGTTTTGAGAAATTTGACATTAAAATTTGCGTTTCACAACATGCCAAGCTTTTTCGAATGCAATTCTTTAAATGTATTTTGATAACGATTCCATATATAATCTTACGATTTGGACAGAGCAGATTCAAAGGAGCATTTTATTTCTCATCCCATCATGAAGTTACTCTTAAGCGGCCAAAACATGGCAGGCAAAACTTTGTAATTTTGAGGTAGGAAAATACTTGCCTAAAGTGCCTTTCACGTTATTTTACGTATGAATAGAAGCTGGTGCATCCTTTGGGTGAGTCAGGTCAAAGGTTTGGGGCTGCTGTGGCATTCACACAGAGACAAATTAAAGTTGAAAAACCTATAATGCTGTTGTCCTCCTGCCCATTTGTACAGTTCTGATATCTGGACAACCAAAATCATTATATAAAGCTTAATCATTTTCGAAAAAAGTTGTACGCAGACTGGTGAGAGGCAATACAAAGCAGCAGAACCACAAGGATTGTATTTGTATGGATCTTTCGCCCTGGTCATGCCGAAGTTCAAGGAAATGAACGTGCTGATAAGCTAGCCGGCCAGGCTGAGATCGGCCGGTACCATGTTATTAGATCCACCAACAGTAACGGCATCGTAGACAACATGGTTCAATTTTTGCGACCAGAGAGAGAGAGAGAGAGAGAGAGAGAGAGAGAGAGAGAGAGAGAGAGAGAGAGAGAGAGAGAGAAGGCACCACTTCACCCACTATGGATAAACTAAGGGAAGCAGCTAGTGTCTCTGGACGGTCGGGGGACAGCAATGTTGCGTGGAAAAGCCAGAAGAAACCAGTTGATAACTTACACGATCAGCAGGCAGACCCTTTCATGGATCCTGGAGAGGAGGGAGGAGCAGCTACGGCATTGCGATGCTTTCAATGATGCCTATTCTCCAACTAAATAAATAAGTAAGTAAGAAAAAAACATTTCAGGAAAATTTTTTGTCTCAAATGCCTGGACAAAAACATCATAATATATTCCAAAGTTCTCAAAACAGCAAATGCCAAAAACCTATTTCAAAACCTCGAAATGACTCAACAGTGTCGTTATAATGTCTCATTTCAGAATCCAAAATGTAGTATTTTATTCTGAGTGTTGTTCTCGGGATCGAAAATGTAAAGTTGGTGCCACCC